AACAGAACTAGAACAGAACTAGAACAGAACTAGAACAGAACTAGAACAGAACTAGAACAGAACTAGAACAGAACTAGAACAGAACTAGAACAGAACTAGAACAGAACTAGAACAGAACTAGAACAGAACTAGAACAAACTAGAACAGAACTAGAAAAGAACTAGAACAGAACTAGAACAGAACTAGAACAGAACTAGAACAGAACTAGAACAGAACTAGAACAGAACTAGAACAGAACTAGAACAGAACTAGAACAGAACTAGAACAGAACTAGAACAGAACTAGAACAGAACTAGAACAGAACTAGAACAGAACTAGAACAGAACTAGAACAGACTAGAACAGAACTAGAACAGAACTAGAACAGAACAGACAGAACAGAACAGAACAGAACTAGAACAGAAGAACAGACAGAACTAGAACAGAACATAACAGAACAGAACTAGAACAGAACTAGAACAGAACTAGAACAGAACTAGAACAGAACTAGAACAGAACTAGAACAGAACTAGAACAGAACAAACTAGAACTAGAACTAGAATAGAACAGAACAGAACAGAACTAGAACAGAACAGAACAGAACAGAACAGAACTAGAACTAGAACAGAACAGAACAGAACTAGAACAGAACTAGAACATAGAACAGAACTAGAACAGAACTAGAACAGAACTAGAACAGAACTAGAACAGAACTAGAACAGAACTAGAACAGAACTAGAACAGAACTAGAACAGAACTAGAACAGAACTAGAACAGAACTAGAACAGAACTAGAACAGAACTAGAACAGAACTAGAACAGAACTAGAACAGCTAGAAACAGAACTAGAACAGAACTAGAACAGAACTAGAACAGACTAGAACAGAACTAGAACAGAACTAGAACAGAACTAGAACAGAACTAGAACAGAACTAGAACAGAACTAGAACAGAACTAGAACAGAACTAGAACAGAACTAGAACAGAACTAGAACAGAACTAGAACAGAACTAGAACAGAACTAGAACAGAACTAGAACAGAACTAGAACAGAACTAGAACAGAACTAGAACAGAACTAGAACAGAACTAGAACAGAACTAGAACAGAACTAGAACAGAACTAGAACAGAACTAGAACAGAACTAGAACAGAACTAGAACAGAACTAGAACAGAACTAGAACAGAACTAGAACAGAACTAGAACAGAACTAGAAAGAACTAGAACAGAACTAGAACAGAACTAGAACAGAACTAGAACAGAACTAGAACAGAACTAGAACAGAACTAGAACAGAACTAGAACAGAACTAGAACAGAACTAGAACAGAACTAGAACAGAACTAACAGAACTAGAACAGAACTAGAACAGAACTAGAACAGAACTAGAACAGAACTAGAACAGAACTAGAACAGAACTAGAACAGAACTAGAACAGAACTAGAACAGAACTAGAACAGAACTAGAACAGAACTAGAACAGAACTAGAACAGAACTAGAACAGAACTAGAACAGAACTAGAACAGAACTAGAACAGAACTAGAACAGAACTACAGAACTAGAACAGAACTAGAACAGAACTAGAACAGAACTAGAACAGAACTAGAACAGAACTAGAACAGAACTAGAACAGAACTAGAACAGAACTAGAACAGAACTAGAACAGAACTAAACAGAACTAGAACAGAACTAGAACAGAACTAGAACAGAACTAGAACAGAACTAGAACAGAACTAGAACAGAACTAGAACAACTAGAACAGAACAGAACAAACTAGAACAGAACTAGAACAGAACTAGAACAGAACTAGAACAGAACTAACAGAACTAGAATAGAACTAGAACAGAACTAGAACAACTAGAACAGAACTAGAACAGAACTAGAACAGAACTAGAACAGAACTAGAACAGAACTAGAACAGAACTAGAACAGAACTAGAACAGAACTAGAACAGAACTAGAACAGAACTAGAACAGAACTAAACAGAACTAGAACAGACTAGAACAGAACTAGAACAGAACTAGAACAGAACTAGAACAAACTAGAACAGAACTAGAACAAACTAGAACAGACTAACAGAACTAGAACAGAACTAGAACAGAACTAGAACAGAACTAGACAAAACAGAACTAACAGAACTAGAACAGAACTAGAACAGAACAGAACTAGAACAGAACTAGAACAGAACTAGAACTAGAACAGAACTAGAAATAAAAACAGAACTAGACAGAACTAGACAGAAAGAACAGAACTAGAACAGAACTAGAACAGAACTAGAACAGAACTAGAACAGAACTAGAACAGAACTAGAACAGAACTAGAACAGACAGAACTAGAACAACTAGAATAGAACTAGAACTAAAACAGAACTAGAATAGAACGAACAGAACTGGAACAGAACTAGAACAGAACTAGAACAGAACTAAACAGAACTAGAACAGAACTAGAACAGAACTAGAACAGAACTAGAACAGAACTAGAGAACAGAAACTAGAACAGAACTAGAACAGAACTAGAACAGAACTAGAACAGAACTAGAACAGAACTAGAACAGAACTAGAACAGAACTAGAACAGAACTAGAACGAACTAGAACAGAACTAGAACGAACTAGAACAGAACTAGAACAGAACTAGAACAGACTAGAACAGAACTAGAACAGAACTAGAACAGAACTAGAACAGAACTAGAACAGAATAGAACGAACTAGAACAGAACTAGAACAGAACTAGAACAGAACTAGAAACTAGAACTAGAACCGACTAGAACAGACTAGAACAGAACTAGAACAGAACTAGAACAGAAACTAGAACAGAACTAGAACGAACTAGAACAGAACTAGAACAGAACTAGAACAGAACAGAACTAGAACAGAACTAGAACAGAACTAGAACAGAACTAGAACAGAACTAGAACAGAACTAGAACAGAACTAGAACTAGAACAGAACTAGAACAGAACTAGAACAGAACTAGAACAGAACTAACAGAACAGAACTAGAACAGAACTAGAACAGAACTAGAACAGAACTAGAACAGAACTAGAACAGAACTAGAACAGAACTAGAACAGAACTAGAAAGAACTAGAACAGAACTAGAACAGAACTAGAACAGAACTAGAACAGAACTAGAACAGAACTAGAATACAACTAGAACTGAACGAGAACCTAATTTGAACTGAACTATAATCCAAATTCTTTATAAAAATCCAAATTTTTACTAAAAATCTAAATTATTAATATATCAAAATTTTCATTAAAAACAAAATTTCAACTGAAATAATTTTCTTATGAAAAATACAAATTTTTTTTTAAAAAAAAATTATTTTACAAAATCCATTTGTAACTAAAAATCCCAATTTTTTTTATTCTAAAAATCCATTTTTTCAAAAAATCAAAATTCTTACCAAAATCCATTTTTTTCAAATACAACATTAACATAAACAGAAAAAACTTTTTATAAGCTTTAGATACGACGGAAACGTCAGTGTTAATATTCTGGATTTCCTCATGTGGAGATTACTTAAGGTCTCTTACAAAACAACAACAACACATCAAACATTTTGGTACGTGCAAAACTGAGAAGCGCATAGTAAGGAATGTTTATTTATAAGAAGTTTCGGTAGCAATATTTTCAGGGTGCGGTATTTCTAGGTATAGTTTCAAAGTATAAATAAAAGCAATATACCGCTTGTTATATATTAGTGGAAAGGTAATGAAGTCTAGTTTTTTAAAATGTTAATGGTTTTTAAAAAGTGACTAATTTGGTTACTAAAAATAGTATTAAATAAAATTGAAATATTTGAAAAAAAAAATTCTAATTTAGTTCTAGTTCATTTCTAGTAGCCTTTTTAACCTTCTAAGCTTATTCCTCCTTCAACTTTAAGCAAATTTATTATTAGTAATTCATGATTACGAATATTTATTAAACAACTTAAAAATGTTAGAAATAATCACAAAAAACTAAACATTTTATTTCCATTAGACAGACACATGATAACGAGTAAGTTTATTTATTTTGTTTACTTCAATAATTTTTTTGTTGTTTTATCTAATCAGTCAACACGGTTATTAAATAAAAATAAAAGAGTAAACAATTAGAAAATCAAAACAATGTTTATAGTTATTTTTAAACAAAAATAATCGTATTGAATATTTGATTAAACAATAGGCATTTTTGGCATAAATTTTGAACTCAATAGGTGAAATGTTTCTAATTCTGTTCTAGTTCTTGTTCTAGTTTCTGTTCTAGTTCTGTTCTAGTTCTGTTCTAGTTTCTGTTCTAGTTCTGTTCTAGTTCTGTTCTAGTTCTGTTCTAGTTCTGTTCTAGTTTCCTGTTCTAGTTCTGTTCTAGTTCTGTTCTAGTTCTGTTCTAGTTCTGTTCTAGTTCTGTTCTACGTTCTGTTCTAGTTCTGTTCTAGTTCTGTTTCTAGTTCTGTTCTAGTTCTGTTCTAGTTCTGTTCTAGTTCTGTTCTAGTTCTGTTCTAGTTCTGTTTCTAGTTCTGTTCTAGTTCTGTTCTAGTTCTGTTCTAGTTCTGTTCTAGTTCTGTTCTAGTTCTGTTCTAGTTCTGTTCTAGTTCTGTTCTAGTTCTGTTCTAGTTCTGTTCTAGTTCTGTTCTAGTTCTGTTCTAGTTCTGTTCTAGTTCTGTTCTAGTTCTGTTCTAGTTCTGTTCTAGTTTCTAGTTCTGTTCTAGTTCTGTTCTAGTTCTGTTCTAGCTCTGTTCTAGTTCTGTTCTAGTTCTGTTCTAGTTCTGTTCTAGTTCTGTTTTAGTTCTGTTTTAGTTCTGTTCTAGTTCTGTTCTAGTTCTGTTTTAGTTCTGTTTTAGTTCTGTTCTAGTTCTGTTCTAGTTCTGTTTCTAGTTCTGGTTCTGTTATAGTTCTGATTCTAGTTCAGTTCTCAAACTGTATGTGAGAAAAACCTTTCAGGTTTGAGAGTTATTACCTTATTCAATTTTTGATACAGCTTAAAATTGGGACCCTGATGTTGGGACCCTAAACTTAATTTAAAATCAAAATTTTGGTGAATAATCTTGCTTTAAAAACTGACAACAAAGAATAAATACTGACAATTTCAAATACATATGTATATTTTTTAAAAAAATTATATAAAATATTTGAAAAAAAAAATGCCCACTAAAAGAAAACAAAAGTCGCGTTAAACTCTTTACTAGAACTTAAGCCAACCGTAGAAATTTTACCAAACACCATTAACAAAACTTCAAATCTTACAATAAAGGAAGAAAAATCTATAGGAGATGGCCAAGAAGAATGGTTAGATGAAGCAGAAGACTATGAAGCAATGGCATATGAAGAATCGCAAGATGAACTTAAAAAGGAACTATCAAGGTTGGAAGGAAATTTATTTATATAGGAAAATATGTATGTTATTTCTATCTTGTCTAGAACCTCTTTGTTGATACAAGATTATCTGGAATTCAAGGCCGCTCGCTGCATACAACGTTACATACGCGGTTGGTTGTATCGCAGGAAATACAAACGTCTATGTCTGGCCGCCATTATAATACAACGTGAATGGCGCAGATTTTATTGTCAGCGTTTGTATTTCCGGAAAGTTGAAGAAACTTTGCAGCAACGTATTGAACAACATTATTATCGGGCTGCCCAAAAGATTCAGGCCTTATGGCGCGGTTGGTGGGTGCGTCATTATATACACGATCATACACGTTTAATGCGTTTACAATTGATGGCCGGAGAAGATCTGCTCTATTGTGTGGCCTTTAAGTTGCATCATTTGCTAAGGACTCATCAGATACCGGGCGTGTACTCATTAAGGAATAGCAGGTATAACGGAAGTTTTAAAAATATTAGAATTTGAAAACTATTTCCTTTATTTTTAAGCGCCCTTTCCAAAGTGGAACAATTATTGGCCTCTTTAACTTTCAAAGCATGCAATCAACGTTCAATACAAGCCAAAGAACAGCGACGCCATGAAATTGAGGTTGCTAGAAGGGAACATAAAAAATCTGCTTACGGAACGAAAGTACCCTTTTCAGGGCCCGATATACACAATCTTTGTGCACCAAAATGTGCACCACTCTACAATGCCAAAGATGCCGACATGAGAATGTCCAAAATTTTGCAAATGTATGAAGAAGCAAATCGGGAACTAACGAAACCCGATAAATTAAGGAAAAAATCGGGTAAGTAATAGCCGAAAGTGAATAAAGGTACTCTTTCAAATTAAATATGAATATTATTCAGCCTTTTCCAAACAATCGCAAGTGATTGAATCTCTTCCCAAATCCCCATCCTTTTGTGGTGATGTTCTTAGCAGCATGAGAAAATGGAAGATTATAAGGGAAAATAATCTTAACGTCGATCCGAATGTGTTCAGAAAACCACAAAATGTAGAAAATTTCGTTAAAGAAATCGAATCGAAAATGAGTCTTCTACAGGGTAATTGTTATTGTAGACGTGAATTTCAAGACGATTTAGATAAAGCAAAGGCTAAGTTCATAACACAAGAGGGACACAATATTAAAGATTTAAGTCCTTCAACTTCTATCCGCAATAGTTCAAAATTAATATAGACTGATGGGTAAGGTTTAGATCTCCTAAACAAGTTACTCCTGCTGTTTATACTCCAAAAAATTATAATTCTACACCAAGTTTCAAACATAGTGATCATCATAAGAGTCTTTCTTTTGCAGATATCGGTAGGAATAGTGCATCAGTTGGATATATTCTCAAAATGATTAATATTTGTATATAGAAATATCCTAATATTTGTTGCTATATATTTGTCTTATATTAAATAAACAGTATTTTATAAAGATCATTTATTTGGGATCCAATTGTGCTAATTCAGTAGCTAATTTTTAGATGAACGAAAACAAAAATACAGAACAGTAAGAAAACTTTCGGAGAGGTAGAAAAAAAACGGCGACACTTACGGTTTGATAAACTTATGAACGTAGACTTAAGACTTATTAAATTCAAGATGCACTTCCGTAATTTCCCCAATTCATGTCATTGTCCTTTCCTCATAATTATATATACTAGAGTACAAGTCAGTAGTCGAAATAATAAGAATTGATAACTAGATTTTAAAAAGGGTGTACTCGATCTCCTAAAAGATCTAAATATGCTATTAAACCTAAAACTCTTTACAAAGACTATAGTATATCGTATTGAAGAGAGGAAAAGAGAGAACCTTATAGGATTATACTATGCTTGTAGTTGTGAAGCATAGTGTAAAGAAATTGGCGTTCATCCTTTCAACGGGTACAAACGATGAAAGAAATTAAATTCTCGATAGTTCTCTAGATCTCTCCAAGTAAAAAGAACTTCTGAAAGATCTCAGAGAAGAGATCAAAGAGAACTCTTTGCAAAGACATCAGCTGGCTTGTCAAAAATTTAGCATTCAGAGACAGAAAGGAGACCCCTATTCACGTTCAATATTATATTATTTCAGTAAAGGAGATGCTTTACAGTATTTGTCAAGTTCTTTTGGAAATTGCTTTCGGTCGGAGAGGACGGTTAGTTAGTTAGTTAGTTAGTTAGTTAGTTAGTTAGTTAGTTAGTTAGTTGTTAGTTGTTAGTTAGTTAGTTAGTTAGTTAGTTAGTTAGTTAGTTAGTTATTAGTTAGTTAGTTCGTTCGTTGTTAGTAGTTCGTTAGTTAGTTCGTTAGTTAGTTCGTTGTTAGTTAGTAGTTAGTTAGTTAGTAGTTAGTTCGTTCGTTCGTTAGTTCGTTAGTTCGTTTTTCGTTGTTAGTTCGTTAGTTTTCGTTTTCGTTGTTCGTTCGTTCGTTCGTTCGTTAGTTTTTTAGTTCGTTCGTTCGTTCGTTCGTTCGTTGTTCTTGTTCGTTCGTTTTTTCGTTCGTTCGTTTGTTCGTTCGTTCGTTCGTTCGTTCTTTTCGTTCGTTCGTTCGTTCGTTCGTTCGTTCGTTTTTCGTTTGTTCGTTCGTTCGTTCGTTCGTTCGTTCGTTCGTTCGTTCGTTCGTCGTTCGTTCGTTCGTTCGTTCGTTCGTTCGTTCGTTCGTTCGTTCGTTCGTTAGTTCGTTCGTTCGTTCGTTCGTTCGTTCGTTCGTTCGTTCGTTCGTTCGTTTTCGTTCGTTCGTTCGTTCGTTCGTTCGTTCGTTCGTTCGTTCGTTCGTTCGTTCGTTCGTTCGTTCGTTCGTTCGTTCGTTCGTTCGTTCGTTCGTTCGTTCGTTCGTTCGTTCGTTCGTTCGTTCGTTCGTTCGTTCTTTCGTTCGTTCGTTCGTTCGTTCGTTTCGTTCGTTCGTTCGTTCGTTCGTTCGTTCGTTCGTTCGTTCGTTCGTTCGTTCGTTCGTTCGTTCGTTCGTTTCGTTCTTCGTTCGTTCGTTCGTTCGTTCGTTACGTTCGTTCGTTCGTTCGTTCGTTTCGTTCGTTCGTTCGTTCGTTCGTTCGTTCGTTCGTTCGTCGTTCGTTCGTTCGTTCGTTCGGTCGTTCGTTCGTTCGTTCGTTCGTTCGTTCGTTCGTTCGTTCGTTCGTTCGTTCGTTCGTTCGTTCGTTCGTTCGTTCGTTCGTTCGTTCGTTCGTTCGTTCGTTCGTTCGTTCCCTTTTCCCGCCCTCCTTTGTCGCTCCACTTTCCTCCTTCTGTTTTCCTGTCTTTCCCTGCCCTTCGTTCCCTGGTTTCCCTGTTTGTCCGCTGCTCGTTTTCCTTCCTCGTTTTTGTTTCCCTCCTCCTCCGCTTTCCACCACTGTGTCACATTTTAAAAAATAGTAGTTTGGGGAAAACTATAAACCACAAAAATACAAAACTTTAAAGTTATTTCACTCTAACCAGTTACTATTATGATATACTCTCCACAGTTGTATACTTTTACTATAAAGTGGCAGCAATACGTCATGACAAAAACTATGACAAGTGTTATAAGAAGTAAGAAGAAAGTTCTACATGATAAAAGAACAAAAAAAAAAGAAGGTTAAAGGAAAAGTTGGTAGCTACTGTTGCTGGCTTAAAGGGAAAAAACATCATCTACATAAGAGTAAGTAGTAGAAAACATTTGATATTTTAACCAAATCGCTTAGTTAGTTTACTTGTGTATGTTGTGCAATTCCAAAATGGAAATACTAATGATAAAGTAAGTGTACAAGTGGAATGAATGACTGGAGAAATAAAGAATGAAATAAAGTGTCATAAGTGGTAAAGTTGTAAAGTATAAAAGAGAACTAGCGGCAAGCAGTTATGTATTCATATATGTATTCTATTGTAAGTTTAGGGTTTATAACGAAAAGTACATGTTTTTTGGAACTATAAGGGTACTCTTAAGTACTATTTTGGTATAGACTTTGGAAAAGTATAAATGTAGAAGTTTAAGTAACTAACGTTCGAACATTTTTTCTTCCAAAATTTACGACTAGTTGTCAAAAACTTGACCTTCATTTAAATTTAATAACCTAATCATATTGTTTATTTAAATTTCTCAGTTGTAAAGTTTGTTTGTGATAAATTTCAAAACTATTTATAAGATTTCTATCAAATAAAGATAAACGAGATAAACTTTAATTTATTAAACAAGATTATTTTTAACGTTTTGGACTTGAGAATGCAGTCATTCATTCAAAATTTATATAAAACAATTTTCTTATCAACAAACAACACATTCCAGAGATGTGATTAGTTTATTTAAATAATAAATATAAATAGGGAACTATTGTCTAGTATTTGAAAAGATAAAAACTAAAAGTTAACAACAAATAGTAATGGGGGTTGCTAAGTAATGCATTACAAAAAGTAATGACTTGTTCTGTCTTCCTAAAATCATTATAGTTGAGAGTAGAATTGTCCTGAGAGTTGAGAGTAGAATTGTCCTTCCAATTAGTCTAAAATTTATTGAAAACAAAACTTAATTGCCACTTTAAATATGGTTGTTGTACACAACTCTAAGCACATTTAGTTACACTTGATAAAACACTTCATCTGGCAACACTTTTTATAACACTTTACAATTATTATTCTATAACCAAAACCCGAAATTCATTTATTTAATCTATATGTATTTTTTTTTGGAAAAATAACAGCCAATTTCTTAACAAAAAATCCAGTTTTTTGTCCTCGAAACAAATTTGTCTTTCAATCGAATAAATACAATTCAAATTAGTTGTATTAGAAAAGTGCACAAAATTAAGAAGAAAATAACTATTTGCTAAAACTTTAAACAATAATGGGAGAACATCAAACGGACTACACGTTTTACTAGACACACAAACATCGCTTAAGCCTTAAATGTGTCCTTTTCCTTACGTAAACTACCCATGGTGCGTATGGGATCAGATTCATTGGCATGTTTTTGTACGGAGGCCTCGTGAACACGCATAAATGGATTCCATGATTTCTCCTCGGCAATGGTAGAAGGCACAGTTGGCGATTGAGTGGCACGACGCAATTTAGCCCATTCAATTCTCTTCAGAATGTTTTCATTTTGCGGTTCCACATGACGAGCATAGGCCATGTTTTGCAAAGTGTATTCATGACCACAAAATACCTTGGTATCATCGGGTAATGCCGATAATTTTTCCACCAAAGCGGCATACATTTGTTCAGCAGTACCCTCAAAGAAACGACCACAACCACCCTGGAAAAGAGTATCACCAGTGAAGACACATTTATCACCATTAGGTGCCTCCACAAAATAACAGATATGACCAGTGGTGTGACAAGGAGTAAACAAACAGGTGACCTTTAGATCGCCAATGTTCAAACGATCATCTTGTGTCACTTTATGATTAAGAGCGCCAATACGCTCATCACCACCATAAACATCGAGAGGTTTGTTAAATAATTTAACTAGTTTTTCATTACCACCAGCATGATCCCAATGATGATGGGTGGTTAAAACTTTGGTTAAGTTGACACTTTCTTGTTTGACAGCATTGATGACAGCTTCTGGGTCTACGGGGTCGACAATGGCAGCTTCACGAGTGTTACTGCAAATGATCTGCAATGGAATAACTTATATTGTAAAATCACTTTAAATACTAACTAACTAACTACTACTAACTAACTACTAACTAACTACTACTAACTAACTAACTAACTAACTAACTAACTAACTAACTAACTAACTAACTAACTAACTAACTAACTAACTAACTAACTAACTACTAACTAACTAACTAACTAACTAACTAACTAACTAACTAACTAACTAACTAACTAACTAACTACTAACTAACTAACTAACTAACTAACTAACTAACTAACTAACTAACTAACTAACTAACTAACTAACTAACTAACTAACTAACTAACTACTAACTAACTAACTAACTAACTAACTAACTAACTAACTAACTAACTAACTAACTAACTAACTAACTAACTAACTAACTAACTAACTAACTAACTAACTAACTAACTAACTAACTAACTACTAACTAACTACTAACTAACTAACTACTAACTAACTAACTAACTAACTAACTAACTAACTAACTAACTAACTACTAACTAACTAACTAACTAACTAACTAACTAACTAACTAACTAACTAACTAACTAACTAACTAACTAACTAACTAACTAACTAACTAACTAACTAACTAACTAACTAACTAACTAACTAACTAACTAACTAACTAACTAACTAACTAACTAACTAACTAACTAACTAACTAACTAACTAACTAACTAACTAACTAACTAACTAACTAACTAACTAACTAACTAACTAACTAACTAACTAACTAACTAACTAACTAACTAACTAACTAACTAACTAACTAACTAACTAACTAACTAACTACTAACTAACTAACTAACTAACTAACTAACTAACTAACTAACTAACTAACTAACTAACTACTAACTAACTAACTAACTAACTAACTAACTAACTAACTAACTAACTAACTAACTAACTAACTACTAACTAACTAACTAACTAACTAACTACTAACTAACTAACTAACTAACTAACTAACTAACTAACTAACTACTAACTAACTAACTAACTAACTAACTACTAACTAACTAACTAACTAACTAACTAACTAACTAACTAACTAACTAACTAACTAACTAACTAACTAACTAACTAACTAACTAACTAACTAACTAACTAACTAACTAACTAACTAACTAACTAACTAACTAACTAACTAACTAACTAACTAACTAACTAACTAACTACTAACTACTAACTAACTAACTAACTAACTAACTAACTAACTAACTAACTAACTAACTAGTTACTTATTTTCCAGTTTAAGCTGTTACAACAACAAATGTCTCTGCAAAATATTACAATGGTTCTCTCAAAATGCATTTTGTTCACAAATTTGTTCGAAAATAATTGGCAGAGATGTAAGACTTACCATGTACATGTAATTGTCCTGTAGAGCTGGTAGGATTTTAACTTGCATGGCGGCCATTTTTAAATCTTCTATGGAACTGTGCATACCTCTAAAACCAACTTTGCGTAATTTTTGTGCTAGAAAAACAAAATTGTATTTTATTACAAAAAACATTAAAAAACTAAAATCTAACGGTTCTGTAACTAAATTTTAACAGCGCTATCTATATGTCAATAACAACAACAATATGTGTTGCTTAGCTAAGACAACAACCAAAAATCTTGACAAATTACAACAGTGAGAATAAGATATAAACAAACAGCTGTTGCTGCGTCATTAACGAAAACAAGAAAAAGCAAAAAACACAAAACAGACAAAGAAAACAACAAAAAAAACTGTATAAATTACAATAAGAAAAATGTCACAAATGAGGTTAAATGTTTTCTTTAAACAATAATAATAATTACAAATTTGCGTATTGTTTATTTGTAATAAACGTTTATTAAAATCAACTCCATTGCCCGGCACCATTAATAAACAAACACCACCTGTCACCAACTTATTACGTGTAGAAGAGGAAGAAAACACAGTTTGCAGCCACAAACATCTTGGAAAAGCTGTTTGATGGACCACATTATGGTTGGTGGTTCGATTGATAACAAACAAACCTCGAAAATATGTTGCGGTTAAATTTTGTAAAACACCGTGTTTAAAACGTGACCAAAATGGAAGCATTTAATAGATTTTTAAGAAATTTTCTTAATAGGAAACAATTCAACACACACACACAGCCAATGTTTATTTTATTATTCCGTAACACTTTTGGTCTTTTTTGCAATTTTTTTTTCCTTTTTATCTACAATTTCTATTTTCCATATAATTTTTTTCACTTTTTTATTGTTTTTCTTTAGCAAAAGCCGATGAAATTTGTTTTTGTTAAATTTCTAATAAAACGTATGTTTGTTATTGTTATATAGTTTGGTAAACAAAAATCTAACTAAAAATTTAATAAAATTTATGCAAAATTAATAATTGTGCGTTCACTATGGACAAAATAAATATAGAAAATTTATATTTTCACACCACTTACTGCGTTGGAACAACTGTTTTGGGCAAAAAAATTTAATAATGATAAGAAACAAAGATGCCAGATGGTTGGTATTTAATGTTATGCAATTGTCCAAGGCAAAACGAAAACGTAACGTAAACGTTTAATGAAGTAAAGTTTTTGAGTAAAATTATAAAAATTTTCTATAGAAAAACTTTTTAAACAAAAGATTTTCCATAGGAAAACCTTAAAACGAAAGATTTTCTATAGAAAAAATTTAAAACGAAAGATTTTCTATAGAACAATTTTAAAACGAAAGATTTTCTATAGAAAACCTTAAAAATGAAAATTTTTCTATAGAAAAAACTTACAATGAAAAATGTTCTTAAAAAAAAAAAACTTTAAAAACGAAAGATTTTCTATAGAAAACCTGTAAAACGAAAGATTTTCTATAGAAAACCTGTAAAACGAAAGATTTTCTATAGAAAACCTTTAAAACGAAAGATTTTCTATAGAAAACCTTTAAAAGAAAACCTTTAAAACGAAAGATTTTCTATAGAAAACCTTTAAAAACGAAAGATTTTCTATAGAAAACCTTTAAAAACGAAAGATTTTCTATAGAAAACCTTTAAAAACGAAAGATTTTCTATAGAAAACCTTTAAAACGAAAGATTTTCTATAGAAAACCTTTAAAACGAAAGATTTTCTATAGAAAACTTTTAAAACAAAAGATTTTCTATAGAAAACCTTTAAAAACGAAAGATTTTCTATAGAAAACCTTTAAAAAACGAAAGATTTTCTATAGAAAACCTTTAAAACGAAAGATTTTCTATAGAAAACCTTGAAAACTAAAGATTTTCTATAGAAAACCTTGAAAACGAAAGATTTTCTATAGAAAACCTTGAAAACGAAAGATTTTCTATAGAAAACCTTGAAAACGAAAGATTTTCTATAGAAAACATTGAAAACGAAAGATTTTCTAAAGAAAACCTTTAAAACGAACGATTTTCTATAGAGAAAAGTTTTAAAGAACTTCTTTTATTAAATAAATAATTAACATGAATCGATAACCACAAATATAATTAAACATTTTTGCAATATTCTTTTATTATACGTGACATGAACCAAACGTATACTACGACCCACTGTGGCTGCAGGTTTCATAAAATTATTCAAGGTATCGGCTATAGGTTCCAAAATATCACGTAACGATGACAATATATTAAAACAAAATATCAAGGGTGGTTGAAGAAAACCATTAAAAATTACAGTAAGTAAAGGTTTCACCAAATAATCCGAAGTCATGTGTAGAAATTCCACCAATAGAATATTAATTACAGAACATAAAACAAAGCGATAAGTTTGCAGGAGAAAGGTCACTATAAAAACTACAGCAATTTGTAGACTACCAAAGAATTCAGCCCAAAAGCGGGTGGCATAATGTGTGGCCCTTTCCGCCAATATTAAGGAGTAAATTTGTGGTGGACAATCGTGGGTTTTCAAATAATCAGCGCAGCCATGTTCAAAAGGGTAAATGCCTATTTTGATATCATTGTTAGAGTTAAGATTATGAGGCAATAACTCTGGTTCCGGCAAATCAGCGAAAATTTTATCTACCTCTGGTTGTTGTTCCACCTTTTTGGAATCTTTCATTTTCTTTAGAGAAAATTTTAAACGTTGAAATATTGTGTTTTCTTTTTTAACCACATTCTTTTCTTTATTCTCCACTTTATCCTCAAATAGTTGTCTTTTTAGTTTCTTATTCTCATTTCCCTTATTCCTTTGCAATCTCTTCTTAGGTTTGGTATACAATTGAAATTCTATTTTCGAAGGAGTCAAGTTATTTTTGGACTTCCTTTTCATTTCTTTAGTTACAGCGGTCATTTCATATAGAATTTTTGAATTCTCTGTTATGGTCGTATCCGAGCCATTTGTTATTTCGTTTAGAAACTTATTATATTTCGTATTACTATGATGTTCGCCACGATAAAGTATCTGATTGTTTTCCGAATCAGTTGAGGAACTATAGCTTAACATTAGACTTTTCAGGGGAGATTGCAGCTTAGCTGTTACAACCCACATGCTGGACTTCAATAAGATTCGATTTTGAATTCGAATTACGTTCTGGTGGGGTGTCCGACATTTTGGTTTTACAGTATTTAGTGAATACAAGTAGTGAAATATAAAATCGAGGAAAAATTTACAATTTGAATAAAAATTATCTTTCAATAGTAAATGAAATGTGAAAATTAGATTTAGAGATTGTAAAATCAAATTGTAGAGGAAGTATTCTTATAAAAAATCGATCCATTTCGATATTTACTGTTTAAAAAGTTTAGCCATGAAAAATCGTTCGTTTTAAATGTCTTTTATGGAATATCTTTCGTTTTATATTTTTTCTATAGAAAATCTTTTGTTTTAAAGGTTTTGTATAGAAAAATCTTTCGTTTTAAAGGTTTTCAATAGAAAATCTTTCGTTTTAAAGGTTATCAATAGAAAATCTATCGTTTTAAAAGGTTTTCTATAAAAGATCTTTTACTTTAAAAGTTTTCTATAGAAGATTTTTCTTTTTAAAGGCTTTCTATAAAAAATTTATTCGTTTTAAACGTTTTCTATAGAAAATCTTTAGTTTTAAAGGTTTCCTATAGAAAATCTTTCGTTTTAAAGTTTTTCTATAGAAAATCTTTTGTTTTAAAGTTTTTCTATAGAAAATTTTTTGTTTTAAAGTTTTTCTATAGAAAATCTTTTGTTTTAAAGTTTTTCTATAGAAAATCGTTTGTTTTAAAGTTTTCCTATAGAAAATCTTTGTTTTAAAGGTTTTGTATAGAAAAATCTTTCGTTTTAAAGGTTTTCTATAGAAAATCTTTCGTTTTAAAGTTTTCTTTAGAAAATCTTTCGTTTTAAAGGTTTTCTGTAGAAAAATCTTTCGTTTTTAAGGTTATCTATAGAAAAACCTTTCGTTTTAAAGGCTTTCTTTAGAAAATCTTTCGTTTTAAAAGGTTTTTCTATAGAAAATCTTTCGTTTTAAAGGTTTTCTATAGAAAATCTTTCGTTTTATAAGGTTTTCTATAGAAAATCTTTCGTTTTAAAAGGTTTTCTATAGAAAATCTTTCGTTTTAAAGGTTTTCTATAGAAAATCTTTCGTGTTAAAGGTTTTCTATAGAAAATCTTTCGTTTTAAAGGTTTTCTATAGAAAATCATTCGTTTTAAAGGTTTCTATAGAAATCTTTTGTTTTAAAGGTTTTCTATAGAAAATCTTTCGTTTTGAAGGTTTTCTATAGAAAATATTTCGTTTTGAAGGTTTTCTATAGAAAATATTTCGATTTCAAGGGTTTCTATAAAAAAATCTTTCGTTTTAAAAGTTTTCTATAGAAAATCTTTCGTTTTAAAAGGTTTTCTATAGAAAATCTTTCGTTTTAAAGGTTTTTTTATAGAAAATCTTTCGTTTTAAAAGTTTTCTATAGAAAATCTTTCGTTTTAAAGGGTTTCTATGGAAAAACTTTCGTTTCAAAAGGTTTTCTATAGAAAATCTTTCGTTTGAAAGGTTTTCTATAGAAAATCTTTCGTTTTAAAAAGTTTTCTATAGAAAATCTTTCGTTTTAAAGGTTTTCTATAGAAAATCTTTCGTTTTAAAGGTTTTCTATAGAAAATCTTTCGTTTTAAAAGGTTTTCTATAGAAAATCTTTCGTTCTAAAGGTTTTCTATAGAAAATCTTTCGTTTTAAAGGTTTTCTATAGAAAATCTTTCGTTTTAAAGGTTTTCTATGGAAAATCTTTTGTTTTAAAGGTTTTCTATGGAAAATCTTTTGTTTTAAATTTGTTCTATAGAAAATCTTTTGTTTTAAAGGTTTTGTATAGAAAAATCTTTTGTTTTAAAGGTTTTCTATAGAAAATCTTTCGTTTAAAAGTTTTCTATAGAAAATCTTTCGTTTTAAAAGTTTCTATAGAAAATCTTTCGTTTTAATGGTTTTCTATGGAAAATCTTTCGTTTTCAAGGTTTTCTATAGAGAAATCTTTCGTTTTCAAGGGTTTCTATAAAAAAATCTTTCGTTTTTAAGGTTTTCTATAGAAAAATCTTTCGTTTTAAAGGTTTTCTATACAAAATCTTTCATTTTAAAAGTTTTCTATAGAAAATCTTTCGTTTTAAAGGTTTTCTATAGAAAATCTTTCGTTTTAAAGGTTTTCTATGGAAAATCTTTTGTTTTAAAGGTTTTCTATGGAAAATCTTTTGTTTTAAATTTTTCTATAGAAAATCTTTTGTTTTAAAGGTTTTGTATAGAAAAATCTTTTGTTTTAAAGGTTTTCTATAGAAAATCTTTCGTTTTAAAGTTTTCTATAGAAAATCTTTCGTTTTTAAAGTTTTCTATAGAAAATCTTTCGTTTTCAAGGGTTCTATAAAAAAATCTTTCGTTTTAAAGGTTTTCTATAGAAAAATCTTTCGTTTTAAAGGTTTTCTATAGAAAAATCTTTCGTTTTAAAGGTTTTCTATAGAAAATCTTTCGTTTTAAAAGTTTTCTATAGAAAATCTTTCATTTTAAAGGTTTTCTATAGAAAATCTTTCGTTTTAAAGGTTTTCTATAGAAAATCTTTCGTTTTAAAAGTTTTCTATAGAAAATCTTTCGTTTTAAAGGGTTTCTATGGAAAAACTTTCGTTTCAAAGGTTTTCTATAGAAAATCTTTCGTTTGAAAGGTTTTCTATAGAAAATCTTTCGTTTTAAAGTTTTTCTATAGAAAATGTTTTGTTTTAAAGTTTTTCTATAGAAAATCTTTTGTTTTAAAGTTTTTCTATAGAAAATCTTTTGTTTTAAAGTTTTTCTATAGAAAATCTTTTGTTTTAAAGGTTTTGTATAGAAAAATCTTTCGTTTTAAAGGTTTTTGAAGAAAATCGTTCGTTTTAAAGTTTTTCTATAGAAAATCATTCGTTTTAAAGGTTTTCTATAGAAAATCTTTCGTTTTAAAATTTTTCAATTGAAAATCCTTTGTTATAGAGGTTTTTCTCTATAAAAAATGTTTCGTTTTAAAGTTTTTCTTTAGAAAATCTTTCGTTTTCAAGGTTTTCTATAGAAAAATCTTTCGTTTTAAAAGTTTTCTATAGAAAAATCCTTCGTTTTACAGGTTTTCTATAGAAAAATCTTTCGTTTTAAAGGTTTTCTATAGAAAATCTTTCGTTTAAAGGTTTTCTATAGAAAATCTTTCGTTTTAAAGGTTTTCTATAGAAAATCTTTTGTTTTAAAGGTTTTCTATGGAAAATCTTTTGTTTTAAAAGGTTTTCTATGGAAAATCTTTTGTTTTAAAGGTTTTCTATGGAAAATCTTTTGTTTTAAAGGTTTTCTATGGAAAATTTTTTCTATAGAAAATCTTTTGTTTTAAAGGTTTTCTATAGAAAATCTTTCGTTTAAAAAGTTTTTCTATAGAAAATCTTTCGTTTTAAAAGTTTTCTATAGAAAATCTTTCGTTTTAAAAGTTTTCTATAGAAAATCTTTCGTTTTAATGGTTTTCTATAGAAAATCTTTCGTTTTAATGGTTTTCTATAGAAAATCTTTCGTTTTCAAGGGTTTCTCTAGAGAAATCTTTCGTTTTCAAGGGTTTCTATAAAAAAAATCTTTCGTTTTAAAGGTTTTCTATAGAAAAATCTTTCGTTTTAAAGGTTTTCTATACAAAATCTTTCGTTTTAAAGGTTTTCTATAGAAAATCTTTCGTTTTTAAGGTTTTCTATAGAAAATCTTTCGTTTTTAAGGTTTTCTATAGAAAATCTTTCGTTTTTAAGGTTTTCTATACAAAATCTTTCGTCGTAAAGGTTTTCTATAGAAAATCTTTCGTTTTAAATGTTTTCTATAGAAAAATCGTTCGTTTTAAAGGTTTTCTATATACAAATCTTTCTTTTTAAAGTTTTTCTTTAGAAAATCTTTCGTTTTAAAGGTTTTCTTTAGAAAATCTTTCGTTTTAAAGTTTATCTTGAGATAATCTTTCGTTTAAAAGGTTTTCTATATACAAATCTTTCTTTTTAAAGTTTTTCTTTAGAAAATCTTTCGTTTTAAATGTTTTCTATAGAAAAAGCTTTCGTTTTAATGTTTTCCTATAAAAAATATTTAGTTTTAAAGTTTTTCTATATAAAATCCTTCGTTTCTGAAGGTTTTCTATTAAAAATCTTTCGTTTTAAAGTTTTTCTTTAGAAAATCTTTCGTTTTAAAAGTTTTTTATATAAAATTTTTCGTTTAAGGGTTTTTTGTTCTAAAATTTTGTCATGTCCTTTATCGAAGCCCTTCTTAAAAATTCATATTTCTATAAACCCTAAATATTGCAATTTCCTTGAACTTCTACTTCCTTTTCCTGTTAAATTCCAAACAAAATATTAAATAATTTTGCATAATCTCAACAGTTTAACTTACTTTAAGTCTTAGTTTTATATAAATCCCCTTAAGCCTTGTTTATTTTCTCAATAAAGTACTTTTCCTCAAACTGATCATTAGACAACACAACATAAGATATTTATATAGAACGAAAAGAATAGAGACAATTTTTAATCCCACGCAATCACCTCTCGAAAATGGAGCAAAACAATGGTTAATGTTTTGTAAACAAATACTTAAAATGTGTGTTAATCCCTTAACTACTCAGTTACTTAAACACGATCGTTTCTCTCGCAATCTTGCCTTACAAAAACAACAATAAAACATAATGACAGTTTAACACAAAAAAAGGAGAAAATGTCAGGTTGTGTCGCGTCATACGAATGACTGACTGTCATTGTCAAAGTGAAAAACTCTTCTTTATTTTACTAGACAATAGACATAAAAAAAATTTACAATATTTTCGCACCTTTTTCACCCAAAAATCACATTTTTATTTCATATTTGTTGCTGTACAGTAGCTAGAGAGCGGATTCATTATTTACTTTTTCCCACTTTAAACAATGGCTGAGTGTTTTTGAGTGTTTCGAAATGTGTTCTCTTGACATTGTAAATGTCATTCATATATTATTATTATTATTTTATACCTGTCATCATTATTATATTGTATTCCTTTGTTAACTGTCAAATGGCAAAAAAAATGTATTTTGTAGTAGTTTGCGTAAACTAAAACATTTTAACAAACAATTACACAATTGCCAAAGGTCTATTTGGAACAAATCAGACGAATTGATGTTCCATTTAGAGAAGGGGTGCTGTTTTTGAATTGTATTTCATATTTAAGTATTAAATTACATTTTGAGGTTATGTCT